CTCCACCTTGTTATCTCTTGCTAGAGCGTGTTCAGATTCACCGCCCATCGGTCAGAAGCCTGTGGGAATGAAACATGACTGTTAAATGATTAAAGAGAGAGTATAGAGATAATCAGGGTATGAGGTTTGAGGTAAAGGGGAGATGTAAGCACACTTTTTATATACAAAGTTAAAATTCGTCCCTCAGGCTTCAATGTTTCTTGTTACAAGGTACCTTTCTGTCGGTACTTCACTGCACACAGGCAGCGATGAATCTTTGCACGGATTGTCCACTGTGACCTCAGCAACCAAGCCGCCGATGCCCTAGAAAACAATATTTATGCTAATTTCGTGGAACTTTCATGGCTCCAAATATGTATAACTTCAACCCATAGCTTTTTAAACCCTTTGTGCAAAACGCAGTCAATCTATGATGTCTAACTATTTATGTTGAGCTAGTTTTGTTCTCTTAGAAATATACAATTTCTTGTTGGCTATTTTACTCTGTCTACTTTTTTCTGGCCTGCATGTGACTCCAGACCCACAGCAATGTGGTTGACTCTTAACTGCCCTCTGGGGGGGAGGGAATTACAGATGGGAAATAACTGCTGCCTAGGCAGCAACTCCTTCATCCCGTAAACGAATTTTAATAAAAGTTTGGATGTGTTACTTGACATATTCCGTATTTACCTTCCAATAGATTGAGAAGCAACCATAAGGTTTAGTTCCCTCATACAACTGAAGAATAAATTCAGCTACTGATTTAATATATGTTGTTTATTATATGGTATTAGTAGTCTGGGATTTTTCAGTGTTTTGGAAATTTGCATTCTCTGATTTTTGTTTCTCTTCATGTGAATACTTCAGTGATCTGATTCATGTTTGTTTGTACTATTTGTGCTTTACAAACAATGAATTGGATTAGGGGTTTTATCTGTAGTAATCTTCCAAAAGTTTAAATTATTTTACATAAAAAATTTGACCAGAAAATATGGAAGTGCATTGCAAAAGTATCTTGGATTTAAGCTTTGTGGTTGGCACTTAATTCGTTCCTATTATTCTCCTGTCCCTGCTGCAAATAACTTAAGTGTAAATTGATTGATTAATAATCTGTTCCAATTGATATTGCCATTAAATAGTAAACTTCTGTAATTTTACACATGCTTCAGTGTTGTTAGCAAACATTTAAAAGACTTCAGACAGAGCTTGGTTAGTGCCATTGTGATTACATGTTGTGCACTATAAATATTACAAACCATTTCAAATTAACAGTATGCAGCTTAACATTTCATACTCTGGAGAAAGCATTCCAAGTTATGTTTTTGTAGTTTGTGTACCTATAATCACGAATAATCATAATAGGCAATTTGAGATTAATCAAGAGCATGCCCAAACATTTAGACAAGGTTAAAACATTGGTTTAAGTGCAATTGTTATGCTTGTGATGTTATATGATATTGTTGTAATGCTGGATCATCTGAAATTTACAACAATTTTTGTCTTTTTAATGTATTCAACTTCTCCCTCTTGTTTGCCTTTAGATCTCTGCCTTTAATGGGGGGGAAGTCTACCACCTGCTTCCAAATATTGCCAGTAGCTTCTGTAGATATCTGGGTGGGGAAAGAATTTATTTTTCTCACTAATACTCACAAACAGAATGCTAATATGGATCACTAAACAGAAATGATATTCACCTTTGATCTGTACTATCCTTAACACTTAATCTTTTAGAGAGGACTCTAAATGTGTGGTCAGAGGACCCTGCCTGGATAGAATGCACAGCCTTTCCTAATCTCGTGGAAAGTTGTTTATTAGTCTATGTAGGACTCAGTGCTGGCTGTGATATTGCTTCTGTATGTCATCAGTACTTGATTACATCTCTGTTGAAAATATAAAAGATTGGGCAAGAAAACTGAAGTGTGATTTTCATAATTTGGATTTTTTCAACACTATATCAAATCATTCACATTGTAATGTTATTGCATGCTGGGATTTGAGCTAGTCATTGTAAACTCCGGGAGCTAAAGACCTGGGGCATCTAAATATTCATTTATTGAATACATATTTTTATGATGCATTGTTGTGTTCTGAGTATAATACATGAGACTGTTTATTGTAATTCTTTTTTTTGTAGGACAAGTAGTTGATAGCCGGAGTCGAGCACCATGGAGTTTGTCATCAATAATTCAGTTTTTCTGGGGAATAGTGGAGTTTATTTCTTTTTTGTAAGTTTCAACTTGGCATTTTGTGATCTATCTTAAGTGTAAAAACTATTCTATTATTAAAGCAGTATATGAACTACTATTGATTCTGATTTTATAATCACGTGTTCCACATTCAGCTTTAGGACATTGTTCAACCCAGCTGGAGCTGAATATAAAAGAACTGGAAGTCAGTCATCCTGGGGTAGACCTGACGATGGAAGAGGGTAATTCAGTGTTAAAAACAAGCATATGGTTTTCAGTAAAAATCATTTTCATTGTTTCTGAAGATTCACTCTTTGTTTTAAGCATAATGCCAAAGTAAACAGAACAAAGAATCATGTTTATAGAATTTAAATTTAAACCCAACAATCTGCGTTGCCCATGGCTATAATGACACAAATAGAATCAGACCTTTAATGCATTTATTGTTTCCTTCATGGAGCCGATGTTGTAAACAAAATTTAGAATTTAAATGTTTTTGTAGGCCAAATGTCCCAAAAACTCGTGGATCATTATTAGACAATGCAAATCGAAACAGACTGAGTACTCATTGTATTTGATGGGCCCATTCTTGTAAAACTCAAAATCTATTGTCCAATATTGGCTGTCATTCCACAATTGCACACACTGGCTAAACAATCCTGATTGTGTTAAGAATTACACCATTCACCTGGCAGTTGTGGTTCACCTACGGACACTAGAAGCTACATTTATTACCATATGTCAGTGTACTTTCCGGAAATAAAATTGATGTATACACGCATTGTGCCTTTTGTTCCAAATGTCAAAGTTCACTGGCCAACCAATCAACACTGTCTCATCCAGTATAAATTGTTCCCTTTGAGGTTTGGCATTCTTGTGATTCTGTCCTGATAAATGTAAGTGGAAAAGTTTCAACCACCGATCTCCTTTCTTTTAGTAATAGTCAAATATTTTTGTTCGGTATTTAAAACAAATGTATCAACACCTTTTGATTAAATAGGTTAAACATTCATAAATTGGCACTGTACCTCTTCAAAGACTAACTGCTTTGATGATAAGTAATTAAGAATTTGTTTTTAAAAATTTGATGTTGCTGACAGTCAATTGTAATTTTTCTGTACTGTACTATTTGTAAGGCACATGTTGTTTCCCTGACATGGGAATCCAGCGCACAAGGTATCATTTCAGGATAAGGGGGTCGATCTTATAGGATCGTGATAAGAAATTTTTTGACTTCCATAGCGTGAATCTTTGAAATTCTCCATCCCACAGGGTTGTGGATGCTCCATTGCTGAGTATATTTTTTTTAAAGGCTAGACAGATTTTTGATGTTTCAGAATTGAGGGATATGGTGCAGGCAGGAAAGTGCAGTAGATCAGCGACAATTGTATTGACTAGTGGAGCAGATATGATCTGCTCCTCCTTCAATATCTATATTCTTATGTTCAGTGTATAATATAAACAGCCCTTATAAATAATGGGAAAGGGGTTTGCTTATCAAATTTGTGGAATATTCTGACTTAATGTAACTTGTGTTCAACTTAGCCTATTACCCAATATGTTGGCTATATGAATCCTGTTGTAACAATCTCAATTTAAATGCCTTGCATACCTAATTTTTTAACAGCCCTCCAGGAGTTCCACGGAGAAAGATGGGTCGAATAAACCATGGTGGAGGAGGTCCTGCACCACCACCGATGTCTGGAGGATGAGGAAGGTAACATGCCTGTTTCAAAACAGAATTGTACTTAAGAATTCCATCACAACTTTTAGTATGTAAAATGATTATTTGCTGACTGGTTCAGTTAGAATTCTGGTCTTTTTTTTCTGTAATGTTTCAACCTTATGTTTCTATTCTATAATGGATGGCAGATATAGCAAAATAGTTTATGGCAGTGTAAGTTTAATTTTACAAATTATTTTTAATTGTTACAAGCAAGGAAATGGTTAATAAAACAGCCAAGTCACTCATTACAATAGCCTACTAAAGCAAATTCCATTCTTATTTCATAGCGCTTCTGAATTTTTAAACTTTCTTATTCTTTAATGGGATGTGGGCATCACTGGCAAGTCCAGCATTTTTAGCCCAACTCTACTTACCTATGAAAAATTGGTGGTGGCCACGTTCTTGAACTAGCTGTATCCTCACGGTGTAAGTATACCAACAGTGTTGCTAGGAAGATCCAGGAATTTTACCAGTCTCCAGTAAGAGACAGGCATTATGGTCCCAAGTGAAGATGGTATAGATCGTAGAATCCCTACAGTGGAAACAGGCCCTTCGGCCCAACAAGTCCACACAGACCCTTAAACATCACACCCAGACTCATCCCCCTATAACCCACCTAACCTACACATCCCTGAACACTATGGCAATTTAGCATGGCCAATCCACCTAATCTGCACATCTCTGGACTGTGGGAGCAAACCGGAGCACCCGGAGGAAACCCACGCAGACATGGGGAGAATGTGCAAACTCCACACAGATAGCTACCTGAGGGTGGAATCGAACCCGGGTTGGCGCTGTGAGACAGCAGTGCTAACCACTGAGCCACCGTGCTGCCCTAGGTAACTTAGGAAATGGTGGTGTTCGAATGTGTCAGCCATCCTTGTCGTTTTAGGTAGCAGTCCTGGAAGGTGCTCTGAAAGCATCCTTAGGTGATTTGCTGCAACTATCTTGGAGATTGATTGATTGATTGCTACCAGTTGGGAAGGGAGTAAATGTTTGAGTAGGTGAATGGGTTGATGATCGGGCAGGCTGCTGTGATAGAGTCAAGCTTCTGAAAGTGTAGTTGGAGCTGTACTCCTCTAGGTTGTTGGAATACTCTCCAATACACTCCTGACATGTGCCTTGTAGATGATGTGCATGTTTTGGGGAATCAGGAGGTGAGTTAATTGCTACAGAATTCCTTGTTTCTGGCTTGCTTTTGTAGCCACAATATTTGTATGACCGTTAAGTCTAGGGATGGGCAATAAATGCTAGCTTAGCCAGAGACACCCACATCCTGTGAGTGAATGAAAAAAGTTGAATCTCTAATCAATTATTCACAGGATATTGATGGAGAATTCAGTGATGTTTCTGCCATTTAATATCTGAAGACTATTGTTGCTGACATTATGTAGTTAAAATGTTGCTTGCAACTAATCAATCCAAGCTTGAATATTGCTCAGGACTTGTTGCCTTCAGGCAGAAACAGTTTCTTTACCTGGGGTGTTACGAAAAGAATTAAATGTGTAATCATCAGTAAACATCTTCACTTTTGACATTATGGAGGGAGAATCACAGGATTATACTTCAGGGATTTCATGCTGCACTTGTTTTTTAATCAAAACTGTACTTTTCATAATTAGTTTCACACTGTTGATTTGTAAACAGTCATATGCTTGGAATTGTCCAATCTGCATTAAACATTAAGTTTATGGAATGCCAAGTGCAAAACCACACCTTAGTATTCAATGGCAGAGGCAATTAATATTAAATTTGTGCAATATTTAAACATTATTAGATTTTGTATTGATATTGGGGGAAAATGTAAGTGACAGATATATTTTGTAAAACTTTTTTTTTAAAATAGGTAAATGCCTGCTTTCCAAAGCAGGCAGTTGGACATGCGTTCACAAAGTGACGTGCAAGAATACCAAGAAGATGGGAAAACTGGAAAGACCAGTTTGTAGAAGTGATGTGAATGTGCTTGTCCACCCAGAAGAGTTGCTCAGTGTTAGACATGCTGATTAATGATGTTGTGCTTGGAATACCTGAATTTATAGGCACTGGCACAATTGAAAAGCAACTGTGCAACGTCTTTGAGTTTAATAAAATTGACTTTTCAAGCATTCCTTTCAAAGTTATGTTGAATAATCCTATATCCTAGGTCTAGGTACTAGTAAATTATTTTAAATGTCTTGCTTTTCAAATTTAAAATACCTAGTTTCAATATTGGAGCAGAAGCACTTAATAACAGAGCAGAGAAAGTAGGAACTGCCGATGCTGGAGAATCTGAGATAACAAGGTGTAGAGCTGGATGAACACAGCAGGCCGAGCAGGAAAGCTGACGTTTCGGGTCTGGACCCTTTTCTGAAGAAGGGTTCAGACCCAAAATGTCAGCTTGCCTGCTGTGTTCATCCAGCTGTACACCTTGTTATCTCTAATAACAGAGCAGTATTTGTTTTGGCTATATGTTTAACATTGGTTCAATCTTGCCTTTATGTTTAATGGTTTCCTGGTCAATCTACTGAGAAATTCACAGAATTAATATCCATTTGCCTAACATAATTGTTTGGAAAGAATCAAGTCGTAAAAATCTTTCTTTGCAAAAAGTGGCACTGGAGTTTAGTTTAAAAATAGACTTTATTAATATAGAACACTGGTAAACTTCCTGATGGGATCCCTGTTGGCCATAAGAATAGTCACCAACCTTTTTCAGACAGTTATTAAGCAGTTGGGCTTCTGATGGCAGAAACAATAGATGTGGATCTGCTTCTTCAAGGATATGGTGACTGGCATAACTCATCAAGTTGTGGAAGGTACTGTCACCATTTCCAGATCATGGAAGGACTTGCACCATTATTTATATGTTTGTTATGCAAAAGGGCTAAAAGAATAACCTCTCGTTCAGGAGATTTTCTTAGACCCCTTGAATTTGTTCAGAAAAAAAACATTTCTATTGATACTCCAGAAAGAGAACATTTCTGTTAAGATTCTCAAAGGAGGAACAAATTGTTAAATCTCCAAATCAATGTGATTGTCTTGCTTCTTTTTTTTTTAAAACCTGGTGGGGCATAAAATCTCCAACAAGCTAGCTTTTTCTGCAGCATGATCTTTGGAGTCTCTGTATTCCCATAAACACAACAGACAAATTGTCTATTTTTTTGCATCGGTTTGCCATCCTTTATCAGAATCATATGCCAACATTGGATCAATTTTCACAAATAAGGTAATAGTACCTATCTCTCTCTCCTCCACTTCTCTCAGTCCTCAGTTTCTGGATAAGCAGTAATTTTCTTGAGTCAAACTTTGGGAGGACTGAAGCTATTGTCTTCAGGCCCAACCCAAAATCCATAGCCTTGTCACAAAGTTCAGTCTCCTGCTAGCTACTGTCTCAGGCTAAATCAATTTTGGCACATTGCCCTGTTCACTCCAGTTGTGCTTCATCGTTCAAACTCTCTATCAGAAAAATTGCTGCAAAAATATTTTCATTTAAAATATTCTTATTTAAAATGTCAACAGTATGCTTTGCTTTAGAACTTTAGCCAGAGGGGAAATGTAGAAGAGAGGAAACATTGTTCATTCACTGAGGCAAGATTCAAAGATTGTCTGTCTTCTGTGATTCCAAAATTTGATAAATTCCCAGAGATTAGGAGGCAGTTACTAAGGTACCACATACTGCAGGAAAAGATAGCAGTGAGATGATGCTTCAGCAGTCCAAAATTTTTAAAAAGTGAAAATGTATTAAACAAATATTGGGGGGGAAAAGATGGTGAACATGGTTGAACACTTCATTTCATGGCCTCAGCACGTATTCTGTCTAGATGCAGCCTCAGGTAGCCAAGCAGTATAAGAAGGGGTCTGTACTCTCAAATTTAGTGTTCTTCAGACAGATAGAAGTGCATTTGCCATGATGACCATACAAGTTCCAAGTCTGATCATCTTGAACAATACAATCTTTTTACACATAACGTATTGGTTGCTCACCTTTTAATCTAATATTATAGAACAATTGTACAAAAATACTGCTTCTGTTAATCATTGATTCAATCATTTCACAAGAAATCCACTATAAACCCCATATTTCCTCTCAAGTAAGAGCCTGCCTGTATCTCTACCTGCGCACATCTGTTGCTGGTTCCTGTAGGTTCAACTATTTTGATGTTTTCCTAGTCGATTGTGCAACCTTTATCCGCTATGAATGTCTGTGCAAAATGTGTTCACCTAACATTTGCTTCCAGATTTAACGTTTTCGTCACTGTGTTTGATCTCCTCCTGATCCTTACTCAATAATCATATCCAACTCTACAATACTCACAAACACCTTATTTCTTTTACCTACTTTGCTTCTCTTTGCCTCAGCTGTGTTTACTGCTGTCTGTGAATTTCCTTATTTAAAACCCATTCTCTCTGGTCTTAAGACCTGGCTTAAACTCTGTCTCTTTCACTTATGATGGATGCCAAGATCAAATTGTATCTCTGAAGAGCCTAGGATGTCTTTCTATGTTAGTGGCACAATGTAAGTGCAAGTTTTTGTTTTATATTTTAAATGTAAATAAATTGGACTCATTATTTTAGCCTGAACTTTATTCTTATCTGGTTTTGTGCAGTTTCTACTAATCAATGGACAGAATACAATATGAATATATTAAATAAATTTGAGATTGTAGTTTACCATAATGATTATGTATTACATTGTTGTTTTCATGGTAAAAAGCAAATGTTTAGTACCCGATTGCCTCACTTCATTATGTCTGCTTTCAGGTGCCCATTTAGACAGAGCATGTGGTGTCTATCACAAAGAGAGGTTTTAGGAACTGGTGGGCACCACGGGCCAGGCTGCATCATCACCCCTGCTAACAATGCTTTGGTTTAATTTTGATAAGTTTCTGTTTACCATTGTTTTTGTTACAGTGCCCCATCAGGGTCTGTCTAACTTGTTTAAGTTTTATGTTGAGAGTAGAAGATAGAACTTTCAGGCATTCACTTTGTAAATTTACCTTAGTGAAGCCATTATTGGGTGTTTTGAACATGAAGAACATGTTGAAAAGCTTGACCTACAAGACTATTGTGGCAAAAGCACATTTATTGTAAGATCGACCAATTCTGGCCAAATTGACAAGTCTTTTCAATGCTGTGATCTTTCACTAAGATTGTATTAGACTGGAAAAGTCCTTGTCTTCCATCCAGAGTGATAGAAAGCTGCTCCGTGTACACCATGGCAGTGGAAATATTGCAACACATACTCTCTTTTAAATAAATGGTTTAGACAGCCCATGTGGAGCTCTATAGCAAAAATCAAACTTGCAAAGGAAACTCATCAAACATTAATTAAAATGTCATTTCATAAAATGTGATGATACACCCCAACCCCTCTGAAGCCCAGACAGAATGGAACGCCTATACCATGCCAATGAAACACTCGTACTTCCTCTCCACAGATGCCCAAGCATAGTCTTAACCTCGGAAGACAGATAGACAGTCAGGTGCCCAGGAGCAGGTTCATGAGGTTCTGTTATATGCCCGCCCCTTTCTGCATGGTGGGCCCATAGATCAGGAGCATAAAGCCGAAATGCAATCAAAAATTTTAAGGCTGCTCCTTCTGAATTTGGGGGCCTGCAAATGAAAACATTCTAATTCAACATGAAATACCTTTCCCTTCATGCTTGGCACCCAGTGAATCTATTTAATTTTTCATTGCATGAAACACTCTCCGCCCTAAGTCCCCAAAGGAAAGATGGAGGAACTCCTTACAGAGAGCCTTCCACTAGGGTTCTCTGCTGTCAGAATTTAGGATAGTATTGGTAGCAAATGAAGATAAGAAAGTGGAGAGTGTGCTGAGCAGCATGTACAGGGATTTTCTCTGTGCTTTCTTGAAAGGCACAAAGGGAATCGCCTCAAGCCTGCTCAAGCTGTGGGATACAGAGGCCTAAAGGAGGGTTCAATCTCCAAGGCTAATGTTGAATTCAAGATAGACCGGGATCAGTTCATCTGGAAAACTATTGCACAGTTGAGCTTTCTTTATAGCCTGTGTACTCTCAGGCCTGATTACCATGGTCAGCAGACAATGGATAGCTTTGGCCACAATCTGCACACTGTTGGATGCCATATGGGCTAGTTTTTCTAATGTCATCCAAGCCTCTCTTCTGTCATCTAACATGTCCGTGAGTTGGTTACCCCGAATCCCGAACTAGCTCCTTTGACAGCCACCTAAAACCCGGCTGACGGAGGGCCCAGTCCCTGGCTAGTGGCTTCCTTGCGGCAGCTGCCACCCACACCAGGGGAGAGCTGCTGGAGGGGGAAGTGTCAATGAGGAGTTGGTGTGGAGGAGAAATTTAATAGTTATCCAGGAGTTATACTAGGTTTTTAATCCTCCAACTTTTCTTGGGTAACTATTGAGTTTAAGTGAGTCGGAACCCACTGAATTCTCCAACTTTAAGAGGGTTAACTCTTGGAGGATTCAATATGCAAGGTATTTGACCATCAGAAAATGCAATTTCCTGGACAATTCCCACAGTCAGCTGCACCAAGAATTCTTCATGGTTCTGGCATGTAACTCCAGTCTACTCTGCTTCAATGACCCTCTGGCCATTGGAATATTTGGATCAACATAGTATACACTTATCACAATCTACAGACACAAAAGGTTCAGTGTTTGAAATTGATCAAAAGAAAAGGCAGCAAACCTGCAAGGGGGTGCAAAGAAAATCATCAAGAAGCCACCAGTGGAAGGCAGCAGAAGAGGAGAAAATCCGGGAAAGACCTTTACGCCATATACATCTACAAAGGTACAAAACAAATAAAGATAGGAATCACTGGGAAGTCTCAGCAGGTCTGGCAGAATCTGGAGAGAAAATAGAGATCACACTTCAAGCCCAGTGAACCTTCAAAACTAGAATCTGTTAGGAAGAGGTGGTAGTTATGATGATGATGATGGGGACGCAGATAAGCAGTAAGTGGACTGGCAGATACGGAGCCCAGAGAAAGACAGTTAGGCAAACAAAGGGGTTGTTGACAGGGTTAGGGGCCTTTGGAGACATTGAGTATTTGAAAATGAGTTGTCTGTGCTGAAAGAAGCCTGTATAAGGACAGAACCTGGGTTATGGGGGTAAGTAATGAAAATGGAGGAGAGTGTACATGTTCTGAAATTGTTAAGTTCAATATTGAGTCCTGAAGGCTGTGAAGTACCTAAGCAGAAAATAATGTATTGCTCCTCAGCTTGTGTTGAGCTTCACTGGAGCACTGCAGCAGGTCTGGGACAAATGTGACATGGGAACACATTGGTATATTAAAGTGGCAGGCAACTGGAAACTCAGGGTCACATTTCCTACAGAACATATGAGTTCCGCAAAGTGGTCATGCAATCTATATTTTGTCTCCCAATATAGAGGAGACCACATTGTGAGCAGCGAATACATTGAATGGAGTGCAGATAAATCACTGCTTCACCTGCAAGGTGTGTCTGTGGCCTTGAATGGTGAGGAGGGTGGAGACAAGAGACAAGTGCTGCACTTTCTGCAATTGCAAAGGACGTTGCCATAGGAGAGTGAAAAAGTGTTAGGAGTGATGGAAGATTGTACCATGGTGTCCCGGATGGAATGGCCCTTGCAGAAGGTTGACAAAGAAGGGGAGAGGAATGTGTGTCTGATGGTGGCATCCTGCTGGAGGTGATGACTTATGACCCTTGATCCTTCCCTCTCACAACAACAACAAAGTACCCCTTGTCCTCATTTTCCATCCCACAACCTTTTCACCCCATCATCAGCATAGATACCATCTTTTCCTAGCTGCTGCTTGTTCTGAAGGAACATTTGTTCCACAAATGCTATCAGATCTGCAAAGTTTCTCCAACAATTTCTGTTTTTGTTTGCTTCAGACCTCCAGCATCCTCAGTTCTTTATTTTATACAAAGTGATGAAGTAGGTTCACCCTGACACCAGCATCTCCTCCAAGGCAATGAGCATGATGAACTCATTCATATTTTCAGTCATACTGCAAGGCAGGCTCCCCAGCTGACTCATTTCAATATGCGTAGCACCATCTGCTCACGAGAAGTCCATGTGCCTGCTGTTGACCAGGGGCTTGGCCAAACACACCTTGTTGATGGGGGCAAAGGCAGTGACCAAGTACACCAGCTCCAGGTGGAACAACATACTGTACTGAAAAACCAGATACAAAGGGAGCAGCACTGAAACAGGATCCACACACCCAGAGGGAGTACTAAAAAGAGGTCTGCAGACATAGAAATCATTTGGGGAGCACTGACAGAGGGTCTGTAGATTCATTTGGATCAGCACTCACACAGGATCTGGGAGATCTTTGGCAAAGGATCAACAGAAACAGGGGATCTGTACTGAAAGACCATCTGCAGACATGTTAGAATCAGTACTGAGACAGGATCTGCAGACGCAGGGGATCTGCAGATACAGGAAGCTCACTGACAGAATCTGGGATCTGTACTGAGAAAGAATCACCAGACACAAGAGGATCAGCACTGAGACAGCATCAGTTCTCAGACAGGACCAGCAGACAGGGGGGATCAGTTCTGAGACGGGGCCAGCAGACATGGGGAGACGAGCAGACACAAGGGAGATCAGCACTGAGACAGGATCAGCAGACACAGAGGGATCGGCACTGAGACAGGCTCAGCAGACACAGAGGGATCAGCACTGAGGCAGGATCAGCAGACACAGAGGGATCAGCACACACAGAGGGATCAGCTCTGAGACACGATCAGCAGACAGAGGGGGATCAGCTCTGAGACAGGATCAGCAGACACAGAGGGGGGTCGGCTCTGCGACAGGATCAGCAGACACAGAAGGGGATCAGCTCTGAGACAGGATCAGCAGACACAGAAGGGGATCGGCTCTGAGAC